CTCTCTGGGCTCGGCTGTCCATTTCCACATTGCTAGAAGCAGCCTCTTCCATAAACTGACCACGTTGCTAAGAGAACAAGAACAAAATTGGCTTAGATTTTCACATTTCTCTCCTACTTTGAAAGTGAGAATTTTTGGCAGGCTTTCCAATACAGACAAGTATTTGGTATGTGAAACATTTTGGGGTGTTGGGTTTTTTTGAGGTTTGGGGGGTTTGCTGTTTCTTTTTTTTTTTTTTTTTTTTTTTTAAAAAAACTCGCTGACTAGGTCAATACAAAACCCTCATGGAACTGTCTTGATTTTAAGATTAGTATTACAGACCTTCCTGAAGGCCTTTGCGCTGTTGCCCTCTTCATTTCTAACTCACCATAGCAAGTTAGTTCAGTTACAGGGAACAACCCCAGGTAACAGATATCGAACTTCTATAAAAAAGAAACTTTATGTAGTACTGAGGGAAGATCACAAATTTTCAGGCAAGATCAGAAACCATACTCTTGTCATAAGAGCTTTGAAGATCAGAAACCATACTCTTGTCATAAGAGCTTTAAAGATCAGAATCATTTGTGGTGCTTCCAGATTATTCTATGGTTACGCCTTGTTCTTTGTCTTCAGTGGTTGCATTCCAATCAGTAATTTTTTTTTTTTTTTTTTTAAGTAACTGTAGGTACATTCTGCTTTAGACTTAGTCAACATTTTTCCACCGGACACCCACTTCAACTCAGTCTTGGACATCTGTCTGTCTATAGACATTGTAACCCTTATTTTCCCACTGCAAGTAGGGCATCTGACAGAAAGAGGCAGTCAATAATGCTTCCTGTGAATCCAATCCAGCCACATTTGTTGCTCTATTTGATGGATTCAACCAGATAATATACGCTTGCAGATGTTACTCGACCCTAGATTGTCAAGGCATTTCCTCCCACAAAGATTTCTATAAAAAAAGACAAGGCTTGCATTCTTCAAGGTTTAACATTCATAATTAAAGCAAAACCATGCTGCCGAGAACCTAGTTTCAGTACCAGTGTGACCTTGGGAGCAAAGGCTGTGAAGGATCCTTCACATTCGTTATAAGCTGGTAACTCTTCCTCTGACTCAGCAAAGCACGATCGACAGCTCCCCAAATAGCCTGATGCAGTTAAAAAAATACCTGAGGTAACAATCTGCTTTGTTACAGGGATGTAGATTTTTACAAGAAACCAGAAGGAAGTTGGTATCACACAAGAGAATTTTTTTGGAGAGGATTTGGGACATATCCTAGTTTCCCAAATTAGTCTCTCCAGGAAAGATTCGTTCATAAGCAGACCCTTGTAACAGCAGCAGCCTTCAGAAAGCTTATAATCTCCTACACTTTGGGCACTGCCTCAGTTGGGAAAGACTTGGAAAGCGCCAAACTGGCACTCAGAAAGCAGAGGCATTGCTCTTTGTATTTCTGAACCCTGGTAGCAAATACCTCTGAAGGATGCCACTGAAGAACCAGGTCACAGGTGGCCAAATCCAAATTCAACATGTGACACTGAACAGAAGGACAGTGACACTGCCCTGAGAAGTGTCAGACAGGGACGCCGTGGTTTCATCTTTGAACACGTGACATATGGGCACCTTGTACGAAATACAAAATCCAAGGATCTCCATAGTTATCAACATGACATCAAGACAAACGAGCCTGAGTGAAGGAAGAGTTTACAGATTTGACCCAATACTTCAAGCTGTTATAAGCATTTTAAGCTTCTCAGGCACACTGTCTGTCAGGCATACTGCCTGACAAGTATTTACTGCTACAGGCTCTCAGAGAAAAAGTGTAATTGTAACAGAAACCAAACAGACAGCAATTCTTACCCTGGTGCACTTCATTGAGAAGATCAAAGAAGCACTGACAGCTATAGTCAGTAGAAAAAAGGTAAGGCATTGAAAAATATTTTAAGGTAAAGATAGAAAAATACTTTGTTTTTAATTTTGAACACAGCCCAAGAAACAACATTTCCTACTTGGAAAAAGATAGGGATTATGAATGAAGCAGAACATATTTGCATTTCAAGTGACAAACACGAAGTTTAAAAATCAAAATATTTTAATAACCAGTAATTGGGAGACGTCCCCTTACTCACTTACGACATTTTGGACTAGCAACTACTCTACAGATGAAAGCCAGTTTAACAGTTTGTGTGGGTTTTGTGCCTTGCAATATACAAAGGTATACACCCTTATTTTATAATTCCAGCAATTTAGATACAACACTGTAAATAAAATCTTAACATCTTTTGACTATTTAAAGTCCTGTGCTGCCACACTGTACTATGCAAACAAATTATTACAAGGAGTTACAGAAAGCTAGCACACTGGAAACGATGCCTTATTCCACAGTTTATACAGACTTACAGACTTAAACTGCTAGCTTAAGAAGATTACACAAGTAATTCAGTAAAAACGGTCATGTGTTTATGTGATAAATTAATAGTGTTGTTTAAAGCTGGCTATAGATTAAGCTATTGGACCATGAATAAACAACTCTTTGTAACAAATACGCAATGCCAGAAATACAACTCACTGAAACTGCATTCACACTTAATGAGAATACGTCTTTTCATCCAGATGAAAATAAATGCATGTTCAAGAACAAAATAAAATCTCTTACTAAATGGTTTGCAGAATTTATTAGGTCTTTTTTAATATACTCAATACTTTATCAAGCTAATTGCATAAAGTGATATCCACCATATACATTACAATTTCTGTGTATCATCTAAAAAAAGTCACCAAAAAGTAGTATTTTACAGGTTACAGTTAACTTTGAATTAACCTAAAAGTGAACCCTTCTGTAATTTGATTTAAGACACTAACCCGCACATTCCTTCTAACTGCAATATTTAAATTAGGTTTCACAGCAAGCTCAACCTGCATTTCAATGAAAAGAGGTTACTGCCATCTCAACTTTTGAATTTCTATAGTTTACTATCTTAACACCGCAAAAACCTAATGTGGTGTTTACTCCAAATAGGGAAAAAGTATATGACAATTCCTTTACAACAAAGCCTGCTCAGAATACATATGCCTCAAGAAAATTAGGAAACTCCTCCAGTAAAAGGAATTCACCCAAATTTGTGAACGGAAAAAACATTTTAGGTTCTTTTTGATTAATGCTTGGAGCTGCTCATAAAAAGCAAAACCAGCAAGCACAATAGGTAAACTAGTATTGGATATGACTTAAAGCAGAGAAAATTAGAAAAAAGCAACAAATATTTCTCAATTTAGAAGAAACTTTAAAAGGGAGTCACACAGGTAATTAACAAATAGGTCTTCTGATATCTTCATAGGATGCTAGTTTACTGGCCAGGCACATACATTGTAAATATACAAAGAATGCAGAGTGCTGAAATTTACACAGCACTTAAAGGATTTAACATAAAGAGGTGGGTAGGACACAGGAAAAATATTTAACAACTTATATAAATATATTAAAATCTCAGCAAGAAATGTAAGAGCCCATGCACACAAGACAGTAAATTGAAAAAACATTTAAGACTTGACTTTTCCTTTCAACAGCACTGACATCTGAATTCCAGAAAGTTAACAATTTACAGCATCTTATAACAGTCTTTCTCCACACAGTCTGTATGTACTGAATCATACTGACATTACACAGCACATGAACAAGCAGCAGATGCATCAAGGGAACAGGAGCTATATGCATCGTGTGGCCTGCCCAGTTAGAGGCAAATATCAGAAAAACTGTTTCTGACATAGGCAGAGATACAATCAATATAGCTAACTGTATACCCGTCATTTTCAAGAGTTAATCCACAGTATGGGAAAGGGGAGCTTTAGATAAAAATTATGTACCCAGTCTCAGAAGTGACAGAAGCAGAGATTTATCTTTCAAAAACTGGGCCCATTCTGGACTGGCCTTGATGCACATGCAGTACATTTGTTTTCAGAATGCAAGATTAATTAGGAATGTCTGCACTGGTGTTTCGATTTCCATATTTGTGATGGATGATCAGCAATACAACTCCTAAGAAGAAGCATATGGACCCAACAGTGATGTAAGCAATTCCCAGAAAGGGATTTTTGCCTCCCATCCACGAGATGGTGCTTAGGATCATTCTTTTTCGTCCATCAAAACTGTGTACAGGGTAATCTGAAAAACATATAGGAAAACAAGAAGCACACTGCCAAATCTAGCTCTATGTGGTCAGGCACATTAAAATTTTGGACCATTTCACTCAGGTTCCAAATACAAACTGCTGCCTTTGAATACTGGAAGTACAAATAGCCACATAAGGAGATGTTAACCCCTTTTTAAGGGAAGAGTAAATGCACGATTTTGTGGGTTTTTGAAAGCAGCTTCAATAAAATGAGGGAAGTCTAAATTTTAATTCTTCAATATATTTTAGCACAAAATTTTTCTTAGTGACTTTATGTTCACTCAGTTTCATATGCACTCCCCACATTTTACAGCAAAGGAAAATACTGCAGTAGTTATTTAAAAATTATCATTAAGTGCTTTTGAATTTCAAGAATTTGGTAACTATGACAACCCTCCTCCTCTAGTCTCCTGCACTTCTACCTAGTCTTTAGTATGTCCAAAATGGAATGACAGACCTCCCCACCTGATTCATAGGCTCTGGCATTTTTCTGACCTCCAAAGTCAGTCTGTCCTTGATTACATATTGTCATTACACCCTGAAGTTACTGTTCTCAAATTTCTAGGCTACCAACTACCTCTGATTCTTTTCTTTTTCCTATGCTTCTCTCAATTCCTTTACAGCACCCAAGCAATCTGATTTCCCTCCCACTATGAAGCTACTCATTTAATTTTACACACAGATTTGAGTAATTGCACAGCAGAGCAGGCTGCTCCGGAGCAAGTCTACAAGTAGAGAATAATCTGACAGCAATACATGGAGCCACAGAAGGACCTAAAGCAGGCCAGGAAACGCTTCCATCCATAGACTGTACCCTCTATCCCACATGAGGCAGCTATTGGGGACTGCCAGTACCCATAAACATGAACAAGATGTGTGAGAAAAAAGTGAATGAGACTGACCATACACCTGTGAGAATTCAAGTTAAGCGTACAGAGAAGACACTAGTATCCTCCAAAATTTGCCTACTGGGTAAATTCTACACTGAAATCTTCCCTAGGATTAACATCTCCATTATCTCCTCACAAAGGCCTCCTCTTAAAGAGTTGATTTCTCCCTCTCTCTCTCTTTTTTTTTTTTTTTTAACTGAACTGAATGTTTTCATCCTGGTTAAAAAACATAGTTGTATATGAATGCAGTTTTATATGAACTATGAACTACAAAATAGCTTAAGAATGTTATGTAAAACTGCACTTATATTAAAGAGTGGAAGTCTAACCTAGTCACTTCATTTATGAACCTTAAAAACTGGACTGGGTTTCATTTTCTAACAGGCCACACACAAGTTAATTCTATAAAAACTTGCACAGAAGTACAAGATGGTAATTATTCTACGCAGTTCTCACTACCAGTTTTCAACCACAGCTCAATACCATCTTTTTTTAGAGATGGTAAGAAAAAAGGCTAGTTCAATTTGAACTTGCACAAATATATGCCCATGTAATCCAGCTAAGGTCCTTAGCTGCTTTCAAAGGTATTTCAAAGGATACTGTATGCGATATCCAAAGAGTATTTTCCAGCCTGTAAGGTAGGCTGTAAGTTATTCTTCCTTTCAATGAGACGATATAGCTTGCGAAAGGTTGGCAGAGCAGCAGTACGCATCCACACAATGAAGTCTTCATTGATAAAGCCATTGTTGTCAGGCTCCGAGTCCAGCATATACACTGGCTTGGGCCAGTTTACAGGTTTTGTTGTGCCTAGGATTAAACAAAAATAATAACAATAAAGTATTTCAAACACAGGACTAAGTAACACACCGGCTCATCAAAATTCATTCTAATATTACAAAAAAACATACTAACTCCTAAATAGTATGAACAGACAGGTTGGCTCACTACTATTGCAAGACACTGGGCTGTTTAAGAACTTTTTATTTTGCAGCTTTAATAGTAGTGCATACCCATTTATTCTCATGACAGCACTGTCCATTTGTTTAAACAAATTTGCCTCCCCTACACATTTATATATCTAGGAAGTCTTGTCTCAAAAACATTACTCTACCTTAGTGAGATAGTCCTCCATTATGATGGTAGCTCCCTGCTCACTTGTTAAGAGTTTGACTACCACTTCCTGGACCACGAGCAAATAAAATTATGTACAATATTTTAGTTGACGCCGTACTAATGCTTTTGCTAATTTTATTGGAAATACAATTCTACACTGTATTAGGGTAAGGTATCTGCTTTTCCAAGGGCAGCATCACATTGGTAACATGTAATTTGGCTGTGACTAAGCAAGAAACCCACATCAGGTTAAACTTGAAATTATTCTATACCTTGCATAAACACATACACACACACACACACCTTAGAGCCCCGAGGAAGATTATTTTCAGACACTGGTAGCCAAAGAAAACTTCGATTTACCAAACTGTATTTAACGTAACCAATGAGAGAAATCAGTCACTTATAATCACAAAAAAGAATCGGGTTTTTAGAAAACTTTGCACAATCTACCAGTGGAAACATTTAAATGAAAACTCCGTATGAAGAGTTTGATTAAACAATTGCAGGATTTCTTTTCAAGCTAAATCCAAGCATTATAGCAGTTGTACTGGTTTTGGCTGAGACAGAGTTAAATTTCTTCATAGTAGCTTGTATCCTGCTGTGTTTTGGATTTGTGATGAAAACAATGTTGATAACACACTGATGTTTTATTTATTGTTGAACAGTGCTTCCGAAGCCTAAAGGCCTTTTCTGCTCCTCAGACGGCCCCGCCAGCAAGTAGGCTGGGGGTGCACAGCTGGGACAGCTGACCCCAACTGCCCAAAGGGATATTCCATACCATATGACGTCATGCTCAGCAATAAAACTGGGCGGGTGGAGGTTGGCGGGGGCTGCCATTGCTTGGGGACTGGCTGGGCATTGGTCGGTTGCTGGTGAGCAGTTGTTTTCTTTTGCATCATTGATTTTTCTTGGGTTTTATTTTCCTCTCTTTGTTCGTGGTTTTTTTTTTCCTTACAATTTTTTTTAATAATTAAACTGTCTTTATCTCAACCTGCAAGTTTTCTCACTTTTACCCTTCCGATTCTCTCCACTCTATCTCACTGACGGGGACAGGTTGTTAGTGAGCAGCTATGTGGTGCTTAGTTCCCAGGCAGGGTTAAACCACAACAGCAGTGCACATATTACACTTTTCTCAGTATTCAAAGTGGAGACAAAAATATCAGATATTAAAAAAAAAGAAGAAGAAACATTAATGATTACAGTAAAGCTAAAACCCAAACACTTTCACAGGGAATTTGCAGAACTTTCATTATTTAAAGATAAACTTTCTAGATAGCAGAGTAGTCCTTAGCTTGGATTTCTTCAGAAAACCACTATATTTTTCATTAGCATGTTCACTAAAACGTTGCCCATGAGGTAAAACTCACTGGAATCAAAATGTGTTTGAAGTATTTCGTTCTTCTTAAAGTTTCACATCTTTTTTTTACCTTGGAAAAGCGCAGTTAAGTTATTTCCATCTCCTGTAGGATTCCTGAACTTCACATTTTTATCTGTCCACCACGCAATGCCTTTTTTAATCAAAGTAATAGGAGTCCTTGTGTCATTATCAATGCGGTATAATTCCAATGTATCTAAGGAGAAAATCAAATTAGAAAACCAGCTGAAGAAACTTTCATTAGACAGATGACCCTGACAGTGAAACAATTACCTCCAAGAGAAACAAAACATAAAAGCTGGACAAGGCATTTATTACCTGCCTGTCACAATCACAAGCTGTTCTGTAAGAATCAATGTATATTAGATTGTAGTGTATTATCCATACATGATATCTATATGTCTACTCCACAGCAGTAACAGCTTCTCACAACAGGTATTTCATCCTTTTTTTGCTATCAGATTAAATGAATTCTGACAGCAATTTTGAAAAAAGCAACAGCAGTACAACACAACATTTATTTTATTCTGAACAATAAAAATGTGTTAACTCAAAACAAAAAAGCCCATGATGTCTTTACTCAGAACAATTTGCAACACAACACAAAACATACACTAGATCACAAAAACACCGGAGTAATAACTTAAAATTGTGTTACCATACCATTAAACATACTGTTGGCAATAGCTCCACAAGGAGCAATGGGTTTGTCCTCATTTGTGCGGTAAGGCTCACATTCCTTACTTGGATTCTGATAGTTAGAAAGGAAAAAGGCAGATGAGTCTGTGCTAGTTGATTCAACTAACCTGTATTTTACTACAATACCTCAATAATGTGCACGTTAAATGTACCACAAAATCTTTTCACAGATCAGGTTTTTACAAATACTTCAGCATTCAATACTAGTTAGCATGATTGATTTTTCTTTTACAAGCAGGAATAAAATCTAAATAAAACATGAATAAAGCCAGAATCCCATCATGGTCATACTAAAAATAAGGCTTTTCTTGGAAGCTATTAGAACTTTTTTCCCTTTATCTTTTAATAGAAACAGTTTTCCAACATGAAGTACCCAAGTATTCTTTTATTAAAGGGTTTTTTTAAAGTATGCATCAGTGTTACAGAAAATAAGACTATAATAAGATACTGAATGTAACACAAGATGCAAAAGGTTGCAAGGACTCCAACAGCATGCCAAAAACGCAAGCAGAAAAAGGCCCCCTAAACCCCATGTCAGTCATCAGATGTAGCCTCCTGAAACTCTCCTCTTTTTTAAAGTTTACAGGTAAAAAAGGAGAATCATTCTTGCTAGAGCAAGAACCCAACTGTATTTCCACTCCTCAAAAATTGTGAAGAGGAGAGGTCTGGCATTAAACATTACACAGTGGCTTGAATACAATACATGGTACTGATATTTTCCAATATCGCTGATGTTCAATATTGAACCAGAGTCTACAAAAACAGATGCATTTAGCTGCAATATCCAAATCAAGTGCTAGGTAACCAAATACTATTTTATACTGAAAACAAAAACTTCAGACAGAATGGATACAGATAGATACTGCTGGCTGAAAATAACAAGACAGATTAAAACTATTCAAATTTGAGAAGTGATTGAAGTACTGCATTGCTGTCCACTTAATGAAGTGATTGACATGAAATTTCAGAGTATTTTACACAGTTACTTTCTGTAAACAAAATATGAATTCCTTATGGTTGTTTTCTGTTATGCAAAAATTCTCGTACCTCATTATTATTAAACTAAATACTCTGCTATGTGGTGATGTATGCAATAGTCAGAAGTTAGTTGCTTATTAATATCCAAGCATGAATACCTACAAGTAGTGAACTGTTATCTCCATTTAGCTGGCTGTCATCTCGAGATTTCACATAACGACGATGATTTTGATAGAAGTTGGAAAGTCCGTAATACATGAATACATTGCTCTACAAGAAGCAAGATGGGGCAAGAGGGTTTTTCATTCACAAAAAGAACAGATCAATAAAACATATGAACACACTAATTGTCACAAAGCTTAAATTTCAACCTCTTAAACTCTTTGTTTACTTTACAGCAACATTCATAAAGCAGGAGCCTCAATCCTGTCTTCACACCGAGTACACAGGGTACTATTCTAACATAAGCTGGCGTCTTGAAGTCAAACAGTATCAACATGCCATAAACATATCAGAGCAACATTCACCAGCACTAATTCCAACACCCATCTTTTCCGATGTTAAGCACATAAGCCTCATTATTTGCCTCCAATTTGTAGAAAGCACTTATCTGCTATTTCCAATTCTTGTTGAACTGAGTTTTTTTTTTTTAAATCACGCAAGAATAGCTGATCTACTTCCCAGCTATATGACACATATGGTAAATCTAAACATGTAAAACACAAGCATTCCATTTAATGTTGTATATTTCCAGATAAAGAGAGGCATTAAAAACCATCTCATCCCTGCTACTAAAAAGGCAAAAATTAGATCTGAGTTCATAGGAAAACCAGAAATAATCCTTTAAAAGAAAAAAAAAAAATAAGAGATACAGCTGTCCTATCGATTATGAAATAAACTGTTCTAATTTCACTTTGCATACAGGGTAGCATACCTCAAATGAATGTTCCAGTGTGAAATTGATGGTGCAAGTACAAGGTGGTGAGCTGTCCCAGGACACATTTAAACATTTGTTGCAGGGACTAGAAGGCTCTGTTCCTGTATAGTCAATCTATAACAGAAAAAAAGTCATTAATTTACAATGGGAGAGTAAAGAAAATTGATTAATAAGCCAGAGAGTTGATGTGGCATTTATTTATTTTATTTTTATTACACCGCAACTCCAAAAGCCCATTCAGACTATTTGATGATCTCAAGAGGTCCCTCCCAACATAAATCATTTTGTGACTCTGTCTATATGCTCAGTTTCAGCCTCAAATTTAACACGAGATGGGCCATTACTGCTAGGGTAAAAAAATAAAAAAAAAACCAAAACAAAACAAAAAAACAACACCACACCAAAATACAAACAGCAGATAGTCCAGACAACATGATGTTTCCAAACACACACACAATATAACAAGCAGAGCTCAGCTTTTACACACTTTCCAGAGAGGTTAAATTTTTAAAAGTTTACCTAGATATTTAATAAAAGAGTTTTGCAAAAGAAAACTTGCTCTGATGCCCATTTTTAGCCATTTAATTAGTCAGAAGATTTTAAAAAATTTAAAAAAAAAAAAAAAAAATCACTTCATGCCCAAGAACTCTCCTAAAATAGGGAAGATGAAGACACTAATAATGTTTTGCCAGGAATAGTAAAATACCAGTAGGTGGACAAGAAAGATGATCAGTGTTAGTCTGGCTTATACAATATTATCTGTCTTTAATAATTTAGCTAAAAAAAAAAAAAAAAAAAAACAAAAAAAAGAAGTATTTGAAATCTGTACATACAGGCTACCAGGCATAACATACCCCGAGCAGCCATGAGCTCACCCCACGGCCCAAGCCAACTGAAGAGTTGCTTGACCACATTAGCTCTCCCTCATGTATAGCTCCAGCATGTGAATGGCAGGAAATAATAATTAACTTGGGCTCAGCAGGCTAGCTCCAAGTGTAGCAGGAAAAAGCTTCCATCTGCCTGTAAACTATGTATTTCTACACTTACTATGAACTTCCTATTTAGAATTTACACTCAGAATGGTGCAACGTATACCAAGCAACAAACTGTTGAACAGCAGTATCATTTGAACTACAATGCCTATATAGTTGTATGAAAGACTGCTGCAAATGGTTTGCCCTGATTTATGCTTGTGGTGAAACGCATTATCAAGAATTAGAATGATTTATGATCTGTCCTAATATCTGTATTAAGGTTAGCTAAAAGAAACATGCAGTTTTAAAGTTCAGGGAACAACTGAATCTGGATCTTCTTCAAGGTTTCTCTTCCTGTGATTTCTTCGATATTATTAAGCTTAACACTATTAAGCTGCAGCCCTTTCCTCAGCACTTTTATTAGTATCTGCTTTGCTGCCAGATTTCTCACAGATGAGACCTACAACCTAACAAGCCTACCTGAAACAAGTCAGCTTCAGAAGCTATTAGCTGGCAGAGAGAGAGAGGATCACATAATCTTTGCTTCCTTTGCTGAACAAGATACTGAGTTTATGCTGATCTAGAAATAGCACTACTGCAGCAGTCCTGAACAGCTCTGTTTTGCTACAGCAGACACAGACCACCACTGCTCTCAACAAACAATGCATCTCATTTGTTCAAGGCTAACTTGGTGAAGTTTTTTTGCCTGCTGAAGTAATCTTAAACAAGCATTTCCTTTAGAAAGAACTTAAACCTCCATATCCTGAGCTAGTTCTTCAGTGTGTGGAGAAGTTTTAGATCAAGAACAAAACTCAAATACTCTAAGGTTGCAGAAGATCCAAACACTTCACTTTTAAAAATGTAATTGACTAAATTCTGTGGAGCGTGAAATTGATGTATATTGAAACAGAACCATGCTTTTGACCACTGCTATCAGCTTCAATGCTATCCAAGAGCTTTCCTGTACAGTAACTACCAACACAATTGTTTTTTTCTGCATCCACATTGACAGGTTACATTCAACAGATCGTTTAACTAATGGGACAGAGGTGTCTTCATCTCTTGACAAAATAACCAGGACTTTGAGACCTGAAGGACTGACTTTGGGGTCCACAGCAGGAACCCACATGACCCAGCATTCTGTCCCCAGGGATCAGCCAGCAGCTGAGTATCACAAACCCACATAGAGTGAGCCCTTCCCAATAGCCCCTGATCTAAGGGCACTGGGTATATCCAAGTTATCCAGCACCAATGGCTTTTCAGGATGTTGATGTCCTTCTCAGCTGATTTACATTTTTGCAGTGTAGAAATAACATAACTATTGCATATACATATTCTCCAAACCATTTCTGACTTTGTAGACTTCATATGCTGTCACGTATTTATCCTACTGTGCTTGGCCACTTCTTGAATAAAAGGCATCCCATAACTCTGGTCCTCTCTGAGGATTTTATTAAGTTTTGTATTATTTTTGAGATAGGACTACTGGAACTACACACAACAACTGAAGTTGTACGCAACAGTAACCTACTTACTTTCAGTTCTTCATTCCTAGAAATGCCTTAAAGTCTATTTGGCTTTTTAACTACAATTATGCATTTAACAGTCAGTAGTCAGCACAAAGATCTCTTTCTTACACAATTAGTGTTTTGGGTATTCCGCAATTTTTATCACATTTTAATATGCCCTGTCAATGCTTCTTACCCATTCAAAAAAAAAAAAAAAAAAAATCAGGAAATACAGAACACTCTCACCCTTTAATAACAGGGCAAAAAGACACATTTACATAGCTGACTCTCATGAACTATTTTCATGATAAACCCAAGATAAATTGCTGTTTATACCCTTTGAAACAGTGAGAAAATGCTAGAGAACAACCAACACAAAAAAACTATAATTCTAGTACACTTAAGCTGTTGGAGATCTTCCACATTTGAATTCAAGAGAGCTTATAAAGGAAATCAATGGAAAAGCTAAATTTTCCTGCTCAGTCCTTGTACCTGTATGAGAACAGCACAGTTCACAGGGATACTAATGGCTGCAATATCTAGTTCCAGGAAGGGGTGATTTGAACTGTACATAAATATGTATTTCAGGGGCATAAATTATACATCTTATTCAATTCCAATACACTAAGTTTACAGGTAGCTATATATATGCACACACACACACTTAACAAGTATGCTGTTGTGTAGGAGGTGGGTGTAAATAACTTCCTCTGCTTCCTCCCCCGATTACATTTTTAAAAGAGCTTAATCACTGCACCTAGCTTCTAGATGCCTTGTCTCCCAGAGCTAAATTTACAGCTATTTGTGAGTAACATTGGGAGGTTACTAACAAAAGCCAGCATACTAAGCAGGGACATACCTCAGCTAAGCATATAGGCAATAGCAGTGTCTTAAACTGCATCCCTCACTGGTGTTCAGAGCCCAAATGCTGGTCTGCAAAATGTTTCATCTATGTTTTGTTGCTGCAACTGTAAAGCCTTCTTTGATTTAAACTTTTTTTCCCAAAATTCAGCTGCCTTTAGAATGATAATCTCACTTGCAGAATTTCTGCATTATAACACTTGATAAAACACGCATGACAATGAGAGAACAAAACCCAAGTTTCCCCATTCTTACCTGCATACCCCAACTCCTGATCATACTCTCAGAAGTCAAGAACTGTGTCCCTCCTGTCCTCACAACAGCCTAACGATCTGACTTGGGAGAACATCATGTGAGGTGGATGATACCAAGTCTGAACCCACACAATGAAACAAACAAATAAACAAAACCATTTCTAATCTTGAATATCTTGAAATTAGAAAGGGTGGAAGACCAGCACCTGCCAACCGGTTTCCAAATACAAATGGCTACTACTGCTTTATATATGCAAGCTGATTGCATAGGGGAGCATCAGTCATGCTCCCAGCTCACCTATGGATTTTTGTGCTGCACGAAATTCACTAGGTGGGAACACCTAGTTTTTGGCTCCTACTGGAACTTATTAGGAGTACATGACTGAGCTGCTAAGCAACAATAGCATATAACAATTCTGTATATGCATACAGCAGCAATACAGGCACAAGGAGTTCCTTACATTTTTGGACTCATGAAACTCTGATGCATTTTCTGTCCCTATAGATCAACGCAGATCCAATCATAATGAAAAAAAGGGAGCTATATTTATCCAATTATATTTACCTTACAATCATTATGATCTAAGACTTTGTATTGCTTTACTATAGAAATGGCTATTTTAAATGCAATTGTCAAAAGTATCAGAATTAGCAAGCATTTTTTTTACTTCTCTCCATTGAGTGTTCTGCTGAAAACATGTGATTGTATTTACCTTAAATATGACTATAACATGACAATTTAAAAGTCTACATGCCCAAGACAACTTAGCAACGTTCTCTGCAACTCTTGTCAATTTTCAGATGTTCTGCATACCCTCAAACCTTTACACAAGAAGCAATTGCTTTTCAAAAATATGCTTACATATAACATTTGGACACTGTAAAATACACTTCAGCTTTGGGTTTTTTTCACTTCTGCTTTTCTCCTTGACTGGAATTTTAGTTCTTAACATAAAAGGAAAGTGAACCTTAAATTTGTTTTATTATAATATTTTTTGCATTTTAGCAGAAACATGAAAATATAATACCATTCACCGTCTGCCTCGGGATTTCTTTAGTTAATTGGGCTTCATTGCCACATTGCTACCACTAGCCAAGCCACTGTCTTGAACACTATTTATTTGAAAGTGACAGCTTACTCTGATAACTAGAATGATTAGATGCACAAAAATTCATATTCTCCCATGTAGCAATCCAACAAACAACTACACGTTTTTTTTTTCCTACAATCAGTCTTGGTCACATTAGTTCATTGAAACTAATCACAGCCGTCAATTTGCTTTTCAAGGTTGTCCCTAAGCCCTTTGGGTTGTTTCCTTCCTACACAAAGTGATTCTGTTATCAAACGGACCTAACTGTGACATGCATTTTAGTTTTCAGTTAATGTTCAGCAACTTTTCACAGCAGTAGCGTGGTTAATTATCAGATGTAAAGGACTCAGTTTTTTGTAAGTATAATTAGAAAAAGCCTTCGATCTTTCTTTCTAAGTTTACTCTGGACACCCTGGTCTCCCATAG